GAGCGCATGGTTGAAAGTGAAGAATTTTAAAAGTAGTGTAAATTCAGCAGTTTAGCACTTTAAAATATGTTGTTTGCCCCTTAGTCACCATCAGCTTACCAGACCAACATACTGGATAACGGGTCTAAATTTTTAATGAATGAGCCAGCCAGGAAGCCTGGCTTGCCCTTTAAACACTATGGGCTCATCTTTGCACTTCAGTTAGCTGCTCTGGAAAGGCCAGGGGAAGATCTCCATTATTTCTTCCAAGAAGTGTAGGTTTGGGAGCTGGAGAAATGGCTCAGAGGTTAAGAGTGCTTGCTGCTCTCCCAGAGGACCAGAACTCTGTTCCTAGCATTGACACTGGGTCATTCACAAGTGCTTCTGAGTGTAGCTCTAAAGCAGGGTTTCTCGACCTTCCTAATGCTGCAGCCCGTTAAAACAGTTCCTCACATTGTGAAGCCTCCAATCATAAAATAATTTTCTTTGCTACTGCATAACTGTGACTTTGCTACTGTTATGAATCGTAATGTAAATATCTGATATGCAGGATATCTGATATGCAACCCCCAAAGGGGTTGTGACTCACAGGTTGAGAACACTGGTCTAAGGGATCTGTCTACACTAACATGAGTGTAAGTGCAGGTGTGTGTGCGCGCGCGCACACACACATACACACACACACACACACACAAATAAAATGAAATCTTTTTTGTAAGTGAAGGTTTGAGGGGCTGACAAGGTGTTTCAGTGGGTAAGGGCCCTTTCCACCCAGACCGAGATTCTGAATTCAATCCCTGGAACTGAGAGCATTGACTCTTGTGAGGTGTTTTCTGACCTCATACACATGCACAACACTAGCACACACAATAAAAAAATAAGTGACTGTAAAAAGAAGTGTAGGTTTGATTTGTGGCTGGTAAACATGGCTTGAAGGGTGCTTGGCAAAGATCTTAAAGTTAGAATTGAATGTCCCTTGGATGCCAAACATACATCAATATGAACAGACACATGGTGGGGAGAATATTCACCTGGCATGCAAGCACTCGGATGTGAGTTTGATCCACAGAACCAACGTGAAAAATCTGGGTGTGGTATCAGGTATTTATAATCCTAGTGCCTCGGAGATGGAGACAGGCAGATCTCTGGGATTGACTGGCTGGCTACTCTATCCCATTTGGTGAGTTCCAGGATAATATGAGACCTTGTCTCAAAAAGAAAAAAAAAGTGCCTGAGGAACTACACGGTTGATCTCTGGCTTCCAGATACACACATATGCACCTGCACCCCCCATCTCCCACCCCAAAATTCCATGGCATGGAGTTAAAATGTCACAGTGGGGAAGACGCCATTTGTAACGGAGAAACCTGAGTCTTGAGAGCCATTGTCCACAGCTTTCTCTCTTCACCCCACGATGGGCGTCTCCACCCCCCTCTTGGCTGGTTTAAATGCTGGAGGAGCGAGCACTCATGCAACTGCAGAGTGAGGGGCCGGGCACCTGTGCCTGTTCACCCTCCTAACTATCGGTGGTGAGACGGGATCGCTTCACCGTGTAAACCAGCGTGAGAGGTCGGTCTGCGCTGTGTTTGTACAGCTGCAGCTGGGCTCCGCTATCTCTCACTGTGCAGAAGGGCCTGTGAGCAGGCGGGGGAAAGGTTTCCACAGGCTGGAGGAGGCGAGAACTTGCTTTATTGTCCTCCAGGTGCCTGTGGCCAAAACGGTTGAACTTTTAAAAGAAAATGCACACTAACGTTGTAATTGTTGAGTTTCTGTGGTTCGGAATGAAGACGTCACAAGAGAGTTTGCAGTGGATAAACTTGCCTCGCCTTTTCCCAGGCCCGCTCCCCTTCCTCCTGGTCAGTCAGAACCACCAGCTCATAGTGCGGCCAGGCACACCTACCATACACAGAAAGGCTGGTGGACTGTTCTGCCCCTTGCTTGTTTTCTGCTCTCATTCCGCACTGCATAGCACTATGGGAGAGACACAATGCTGAAGGACATTTGGCAGATTGCAGGCTCTTATGGTACAGCGTCTCGTTTTGTTATGTAGTCTTCACTTAGTAACCCTGCCTGGCCTCAAACTCCCAGAGATGCCCTAGTTTTCCGAGTACTGGGACTAAAGGTGTGTACCACACCTGGCCGTTAGGCTCGTTTTTTGTGCCGTTTGCTCGTGTGTAGGCTGTGGTACTTGGAGAGAAATTACCGTGCAAAGGGAATGTCCCTGGTATCTTCAATAGCTATTACCATATTGCCTTCTAGGTTCTCCAACAGGGTTCACCCCAGCAGCCATGTTTTCCGACTCTGCCCAAACTTTTTAGCTTGGCTGCCTGATAGATGGAGACACTATCTTAATGCAGCTTTTAGTCATGGTCCAGGCTTGGAAAACAATAGTAGCAAATGGCATATTTGCTTTGTGGCCATGATATGTAGTGTAGGGATTTCAAGTTGCTGGAACGACAGGGAATTGGAGTTGATATTTGTTAAGCGTGACTGCCCAGGTGAGTGAATAAGGTTAAAATGCTAAATGACAAACAGCTCGGTGAATCAGAAGTGTGCGTCTTTGGTCTTCCTTCTGGTCATATGGTCTCTCCAGTCTTGCTGTGACATCTGGGAAGGAAGATCAGAGTCACAGAAATAGCCCCGGCACTATAAATATGGCTTCTGTGTCTGTGCGGTGACCTTCTGGGTCAGCAGAGCTTTTCCAGCTCTGACATCTCTGCCACATGAACGGACCCAAACATCACTAAGAATCTGGAAAAGATGATGTGGGAATGGAGCTGGGAGGCCTTGGAAGAGCTTTTCCACACCAGTTTTCTTTGCCTGGGTCTCACGTAGAAGAATTTTCATGTGGCCCTTGCCTTAAACAAAAGGGTATGTGCTTTGTTTGTTTTTAGATGACAGGACTGTTGTTGAATTAGGTATGGTTCCAGGAAAAGGGGAAGTTTGTTTTATGGTCTTTTTATAAAACAGTGAGGTAGGAGTGGTGGGGGAGCAGGGGCCAGAGAAGGTTTCTGGATTTGCCAACAAAGGCTTATGTTAAATGTTAAACTATTTGTAAGCACAATGCGGTTTACCACACTGTGAACACAGAGAAAGGCAAATTAGCACTTTGCAAATAATCAAACCAGCACCAAGTGCCAGGGTATATGCGTATTCCCTAGAACCAAACACAGCCTGTGCCACTGTGGAGGCTGGGGTGACCCTGGCAGCTGTGAACTTACAGACCAAGTGCCCTTCCTGTATCTTCTTTGGAAATAAATCTATTCCTATCCATTGCCCTTGCTGAGAGTGGGTGGTTTGCCAGGCATTGAGGCACACTCCTTTAATCCAAGTACTTGGGAGGCAGAGTCCAGTGGATCTCTGTGAGTTTGAGCCCAACTTAGTCTAGAGTGAATTCCAGGACAGTCGGAACTGTGTGAGAGATCCTGCTTCAAAAATAAATAGATAAAAGGTGGTTTATCTTTTTATTAGGAAGGTGAAGAATTCTTTATATATTTTAATATGATCTGATTTACAGACATTTCCTCTTGTTCTGTAGGCCATCTTATCATCCTGATGGTATCCCCAACATTGCAAAAGTTTCTTACTTCTCAGGGGCCACTCTTTCTTGGTGAGTTACAGGCTCACAACCACCTGTAACGCTAGTCCTAAGAGGGATATAGCGCCCTCTTCTGGATGCCTTGGGTAGTTCACCCACATGGTACACATAATACATGCAAGCATATACTCACACACATAGGAGTTTATCTGTTTGTTCTTTTCTTATCTGTGCTTCTAGTTTTGTAGTTGAGGAACCTTTGCCTAAACCAAAATCACAGATATGCACTCCTGTGTCTCCTAAGAGCTTTAATGGTTTTAGTTCTAGAATTTGGGTCCATGACCCAGTTTGAGTTCTGAAGGGGTGCTGTCTTCATTTGCTTGTGATAAGGTCATGTGTAGCCCAGGCTAGCCTCAAATGCATTATGTAGCAGAGGATGACCTTGATCTCCTCTTTCTCTTGCTTGTACCACATTAGTGCTGGAGACTGTGCCCACCACACCCAGTGTATATGATGCTAGGGATCAAACCCAGGGCTTCATGTATGCCAAGCAAGCATCCTATCAACAGAGTTGATATGCCCCCAGCCTACCCCCTTGCCCCATCTTGTGGGTGGGATGAGAATAGGCTCTAGGGTCCTTCAAGTTGGAGACCTCAAAATGGGTTGAGCACAGGGAAGGACTGGCAGGCATTCTATGGAAGCCGCCCCAGATGATCTTCCAATAAGTGGGTGTGGCTATGCTCTTAAGATATCATCTTTTCATTTATTTTTCACTTTTTTTGTATTGCCAGGCATCAAACTACATAGCTCTACCATGGCCCATATTTCATTTAAGAGCAGCTGACAGGCAGCAAGTGGCCTGTAGGCTGTTGTTCATACTGTCTTCTTCCCCTGACATCTAGCATAATTTCTCTTTTCTTTAAGATTACAATATCCTGCCTGCAGGCATGCATGTATGCCAGACAGAAGAGGGCACCAGATCTCATTACAGATGGTTGTGAGCCACCATGTGGTTGTTGGGAATTGAACTCAGGGCCTCTGGAAGAGCAGTCAATGCTCTTAATCTCTGAGCCATCTCTCCAGCCCAAATTTTTCTTTTCTTAATGCTTGGTTTTGAAATGAGTTCAAGGCCAGCCTGGTCTACAAAGCCAGTTCCAGGATAGCCAAGGCTCAGGGTAGGAGGGATAGGAAGAAATGGAGTCCCTCAAATATGCTAGGCAAAGTCCACTGCCACGAACCTACGTCTCCAGCTTTTAAAAAACATATTTTGAGACAGGGTTTCCCTAAGTTGCCTGGGCTAGCTTCGAAAGCATCAAGTACCCTAGGCCAGCCTGGAACTTCCAATCATTCTGCCTCATCCTGCTGTTGCTGAGATGGCAGAAAAATGCCAGAAGGTTCCAGCTGTGGCACTTTTCAGAAGCCAGCTTCCCTCATGAGTTGGGGACCACCTGTGAACGCTCATTCCTTCATTCTTTGTTCTTAGAATGTGGAGGTCCTGGCCAGCAGAAGCAACTCGTCGGAGCAGAGCCAAGCAGAGGCTGACCTGCGTGAGAAGGTGCTGAAGGAGGAGAATGAGAAACTGCAGGGAAGGATTGCAGAGCTGGAGCACAGACTGGTCCAGCTGCAGAGGCAGATGGAGGATGTGAAAGACGATGAGGCCCAGGCAAAGGAGACACTCCGCAAGTTTCAGGTGAGGCTCCCTGGGCCTTAGTCGGGGCTTGGTAGCTCGTGGCCCTCTTTCCTATAGTGATTGCAGAGTTGGGGAAGGGACTGTAAGGACCTATTTAGGATGTCAAGGTAACCTGCAAGCATCAATAGGAGTGGTGGGAACCAGAGGTCTGGGAGCAGGGCTAATGAAGCCAGGGTAGGAAACACAGGCCCCAGTGGCTCCCACATCAGACAGACACATCTTTCTGAGGCTCCATGGGGACCTCTAAACACCTGCAGAGCCCGTTGACATGCCACCATTAGGCTGAATCACTAGAGACATTCTTTCTTTAACACATAACTGATATTTTTGGAGATTTTAGCAAACCAGTTATCCACTTTAGCAGAGCTTTGGAAGCTGTTAAGGAAAGAGGCGGTAAGTTACTATAGCAATAGAATGGGAGGGACACTCCAGGCACCCATCAGGTAACCTGCACACCTTTACAGCAATCCCCTGCCCCCATGCCCTACCGGGAGTTTCTGACTCTCCAGGGGTAAAGCTTGGGTATTTGTAATAAAGAAAAAAGTCACCAAGGTTATCCAGAAGGTCACATGTGGTTAGAAACGGGACTGCAGAGGTGCACACACCCAAGAACTCAGCTGTTCCTTAGCTTGATGCCATGACAGACACACTATGGTCATGGCCATTTTTTGTCTTGGACACAGCAGGCATCAGAACACATCGGTGTATCACTATGTTGTTTGACCCTTCTGTTTCATTGCAGAGTGAAGTACAGCAACTAGAGGGAGCCCTTGTGCATGCCAGACAGGAAGAAAAGGAAGCCACCTCCGCCAGGAGAGCTCTGGAGAAGGAGCTGGAACATGCCCAGGTAAGCCTGAGTCTTGCCTTCCTCATCCATGTTGGTAGACACGGCCACCAGGCCTGTCCTTTCAGGGATGCCTTCCACCTGCGTAGCCACCCTGAGCTTCCAACTGTCCATCTAGACTGATGACTTGGAAGTAGGGGACAGTTGCCGATATCTAGAGATGTGTTAATTGTCACACAGGGAAGATGCTGCAGGCATCCTAGAAAGCAGGCCAGCATCACAACCATGAGCTTTCTGGTCCAGTCGTTACTGTGCCAAGGTTGAGAAGGCCTTGCCCTTGATGGGAACGTTCTCGTTCTCGACAGCTTTGCAGAAATACAATGCAAACAGCACGTGAAAGCAGGCTGAACCTGTCCCCACGGTGGCCTGGAGTGGCCTCTCTGCAGAAGTCAACTTCCCTTCTCTGGGCAAACACACCCCACACTGGGCAGTCCTTCAAGGCGGCTGTGAAAAGGAGCAGGAGGAAGTCATTTCCTTGAGACCAGATAGCTATCTCTCTTCAAAACCAGGAGGTTCCTAGAAAATGAGATTTTCTCACTTGGATGTCAGGTAGATTGTTTGAAGTCTACTGTAGTCAGAGCCAGTGCTAAAGCTGTAAATTGACTTTCACACAGCAGCCTCAGTTTGGTCCAGGTGCGCCTTCCTTCTGTCTTCTGCCCTGAGGTTTTAAAATGCTGCCCGAATATCCCTGGGGTGAGTTTCGGGGAAGGTAAGGGCTGAACGCTGGCTCAAGCTCAAGACTGTTGAAGTTTCCCAGTGGGTTCCCACTAGCCTGCAGGGTCAGATGGGCACAGCACGCAGGAAATGATGCTTCGGAGCCATGGTCCAGAGTACACGAGGCTAGTTCTCTTAAACAGCATCTCCCGTGTATGGAGCAGGATTCACACCCGGACGTCACCTAATCCGGCATGTGCCTGGGTGCTGGGGATCTGGGCTCAGGTCCTCGCGCTTGTGCGGCAAGCGCTTTACCCACTGAGCCAGCTTCCGGGGTCCCTTTGCAGCTCTCGCCCTCTGGGTGGCAATGCTGAGTGAGGTTCTTTGTAGCTCCAGAGATGATGCCTAAAGGTTAGCAGTACAAGCCCACTGACCGATAGTGGAAGGAAATTTGCACATGCAGGTGTCAGGGGGCTCACCAGGTGGGCCATGAGGTGGGGGACATACAAAGGCACCCTTGAGCTTAGGGACCATGACCTGTTACTGGCTGCAGAGCCTTTTGCTATATGACTAAGGTCAGTAACCAAGGGCCACTGAGCTCCTGGATGAAGGACAGGAGGAAGGTGGCTTCTCAGAGGCCTTGGAGCACAGTAACTACCGCCAGCTGTGGAAGCATCAAGGCTTTCCCCTTCTGCTGTCTCAATGTGCACAGTAACTACCGCCAGCTGTGGAAGCATCAAGGCTTTCCCCTTCTGCTGTCTCAATGTGCAAAAGCCCACTAGGACAGGAGCGGGAGGGAGAGAACCTTCCTTTAAGGATAAAAAATATTAAAAAAAAAAGAAAATTAACACTTAATCTGACTACCTCCTATATTGGACTCAAGAAACAATAGTGGATACCCCTTACACAGAATGCAAACTCTTACCCTTTCTGGTGGAGTCACAGTTTTTGGAACAGATTGAAATCCATTAACTTGCATTTGATAGTTATTCCAGATAATTTTTTTTTTGAGACAGGGTTTCTCTATGTAGCTTTGTGGACTAGGCTGGTCTTGAACTCATAGAGATCCACCTGCCTCTTCCTCCTGAGTGCTGGGATTAAAGGCGTGTGCCACCACTGCCTGGCTCATATTCCAGATAATCTTAAAATGTCCCACAATTTAGAAATGTCATCTAGAACAATGTTCTGCCTCCTCAGTTGTCTAAGAAGTATGTTCTAGAATCAGTGGTGTGGAAACTTGCTTATCACGCACAAAACCCTGGATTTGACTCCCAGCTAAAAAGAACTCTCTCTCTCTCTGTGGGTATTGAGAGAGTGTACTGCAGAAACATGTCTCAAATTCACCCAAAAAGAAGCAAGCTTGGGATCTTTGGAGAGGGAGAGAAAGAGAGAGAGGGGAGGGGGAGGGGGGAGGGGGAGAGAGGAGAGGGAGGAGAGAGAGAGAGAGAGAGAGAGAGAGAGAGAGAGAGAGAGAGAGAGAGAAACGCGCATGCGCACATGCACACGTACACGCACGTGCACAGGACCACGCAGGCATCTGTGGAAGCCAGGTGTCGACCTTGCGATGTCTTCCTCTATTGCTTTCCACCTCATTGTTGGAGACAGAGTCTCTCGACTCTCGTTGATCCCGTAGCTCTCCTTTCGGCAAGCTGCTGGCCAGTGAGCAATCCCTCTCCCCCATCCTCCTGCCTCTACCTCTTCGCCACCCAAGGCATGAGATACCTTATGGCATTTTCAGGTGTTAATTGTGGTAGGTATCCCAGACAGAAAATCTACTCTTGTGTGGACTTCACTGTCTTATTATAGCTAGCACACAAGAGATTATAAAAATACCAAAATAACCTAGCTGAAATAGGTGTTCTGGTAAATCTTCTCATGTTGGGTGGCATGCTGGGGTCCAGACACAGAGTGGGTGAAAGTGGGGTGCCTTGGTGGCAGGGAGGAAGGACCTAGGCATAGAGTGACGCACAGCGTGTGAGCTGTGGGAGGCTGTGGAGCTGGGATTGACCTGTCCACTGGCCAGGAGACTCTGGGTTGGGATCCGAGGGAAGGAGTGAGTTCGTGGGGTCTCCAGAGGTGCAGCTGAGCCTGATCCTGAAGGTTTTTACGGGACGCTTGCTAGACCCTTGGATTGCTGGTCCCTATGAATTCATATTTTCTTTTATTAATAGCTTTAATGACGTTTTCTAGCATGCTGTTACTGGCAGTCCATTTGGTTGAATTTAACATAATTTTCGTTGACAATTTCACACATATATCCAACGGACTACAATCATACTCACCCTCCCTTACTCTCTTTTGTCCCCCTCCCATGCCTGGTGGCCTCTTTCATGTCTCCCTTCGCTCTGAGCATAATTAAGGTTGCTTGTGCGAGCTTGGGTGAGGGGTTATTCACTAAGCTGGGCAACTCATCAGTGGCCACAGCACTGAAGAAAATGACTCTGCCCCATTACATGACTTTAGTTTCTCAGGGAGGGTGGGGCCTAGTGAGCCCCTCCCTGATCCATGGTGGGGTGTTGTAAGGGATTCACTTTTTGGGGGGGGGACACAGCCATGGCTGTCTTGGAAGTGACTCTGTAGAGCAGGCTGAACTTGAACTCACAGAGATCCTCCTGCCTCTGCCTCTAGAGTGCGGGGACTAAAGGTGTGGGCCACCACCACCTGGGAGTAGTTTACATCTTTGAAATCTAGTTCCTTAGAGTTCCCTCCACAGGATGGACTCAACCTCACCAGGTGCTAACAATTCCTTCCCCTTCTCCCCAACACCACAAAGTAAACTCAAACAGAACCTCCTGGTGTGTGCCCAACTGTAGTTGTAGTGGGCTGATTGCCTCCACACTGGCCTTGGAGTATCTTTCTTTGCTGTCCTTTCCCAACTTTTGTTGACGTTGGTTCCCTGTGGGGGTAAATTTTAGCAGCCTGGCAATGTTTGCTCCTTCCCAAAGCACAGTCACCCCATCGGAATTCAGGGACGAGAGACCTCCTCAGGGTGTTTTTTTTTTTTTTTCACTCTCTTGTCCTCTGCTTGGCAAGTATACCTATAGTATTCTCTGCAAACCCAGGAGCACCTGGGATGGTTCAGAGAGCACTGACTGCTCTTCCAGAGGCCCTGAGTTCAATTCCCAGCACCCACATGGTGGTGACAACCCTCCATAGTGAGATCTGGCGCCCTCTGCTGGCATGCAAACATACATGCAGACAGAATACTGTATACATAATAGATAAATAAATCTTTTTTTAAAGTAGCTTCAGAATGCATGAGTGACTGTGTGTGACAACAGGTTATAGACTGTTAAGCACTGTCCAAATGTCAACAATTGTTCGGTGCAGCCTCTTGCAATGACACAAGCCCATCCAGGCCTTAAGAGTTCCTGAGCTGGACAGTGGTGGTGCACAGGTGCATCTCTGTGAGTTTGAAGCCAGCCTGGTCTACAGAGTGAGTTCCAGGACAGCCAAGGTTACACAGAGAAACTCAGTCTCAAAGCATGCCTCTACTAGGCTGCAGACTGAACTCAGCTGGTAGAGTGCTTGTTGGTTTGGTTTAGGTTGGTCTACGATATCACTGTTCTGTCTTATGAACAAACTTCGGGTTTAAGGGTTTAGCCTGAACGCCACCAGCCATAGTGGCTGCTCTTCCACCTCTGTTCCAGTGGAGGTTGCTGGTTTAGTCATTTTGAGGTCTCCTCTCTCTCTCTCTCTCTCTCTCTCTCTCTCTCTCTCTCTCTCTCTCTCCTCCCTCTCCCTCCCTCCCTCTCCCTCCCTCTCCCTCCCTCCCTCTCCCTTTTCCTTCCCCCCCTCTCCCTTTCCCTCTCTCTCTCCCTCTCTGCATTTTTTTGGTCCCTGATCCCCTTGACTCTTTCCCATTCACATAGAGGTAGCAGGTTTCATTGCCTTTGTGGAGTGGCTGTGAAATTCCCCTTGCCACCTGTGGCAGAGGCTGACCAGGTAGGTGAGTGACACCACTGTATTTTCCTACGCTCTGCAGAGAGAGCTGAGCCAGACCTCCCAGGAGCAGAAGGAGCTGTTAGAGAAACTCCAGGAGGAGGCTGAGCAGAAGGAGCAGCTGCGAAAGCTGAAGAACGAGATGGAGAGTGAGCGGTGGCACCTGGACAAGACCATCGAAAAGCTGCAGAAGGAGGTGAGGGGCCAGGAGGCAGAGCAAGGGCCAAGGGGCCCAGGGGAACCCAGCACTTTCTCCCGGGCAGGCTCAGGAAACCCACAGTCCCCCCAAGCGCAGATGCACCTGGGCGTTGAAGAGCCCCTGCAGCCATTCTTTGGACTTGCTGAAAATTCCAGATGCGGAGAAACTGTCTAAAAATAAATGCCAAAAGCCTCAGGGCTCTGGGCACCTGGTCACTTGATAACAATAAACAGATCCCTCAGCTCACCTCTGCCCCAAGACACTCACAGGGAAAGGCACAAGACTGATAGGCTCCCCGCCTTCTAGGAGTGCACACAGGAGGCTGCCATTTTCTGACGCCTACCCCTGAAGGCATTTTGCTAGTGACCTCTTTAGCTCTAACTAGGATTCCATATCTTGGTATTGTCTTAACTTTGGAAGGTAGGTCTGATTTCAGTGTTTCCAAAAAGGACAGCGCCAAGGCCATTATTGGCTAAGAGTATGCCCCAATCATACTGGTTAGTGAAACGCAAAGCTGTGACCTCAGGACGATGTGTCCCTATTCACTCCTCCGTGCTGTCACCGCAGCAGGGTTAGCCAGACCCAAACAGCCCGGGCCTGGTCTGTTGGCCTCAGGGGAGGCTTCAAAGGTAGGGAGCAGAGGAGACGCTCTCTGTGTTAGAGGGGTCTCCGGCATGGCAGGACCAGTTCATACCACGTCACTTCCTCTAGATGTCGGACATTGCAGAGGCCTCCCGAACATCCTCTTTGCAGCTGCAGAGGCAGCTGGGTGAGTACAAGGAGAAGAACCGCCGGGAGCTTGCGGAGATGCAGACTCAACTGAAGGAGAAAAGCCTGGAGGTGGAAAAGGCCAGACTGGCAGCTGTGAAGATGCAGGATGAGGTAATGCCTGCTGGGTAATGCTCTCCTTTATCTCTTTTTGGGAATGTGCTTCAGCATGCCTTGCAAGGCTTCTGCCCTGGGCGGGGCTGGGGTGTGTGCGGGGAGGGAGATAACACTTAGAGCAGCTTTGGGGCTTGCTTTTTTTCTCCATTCTCTAGTGACTAAAAGCAGATATGGCTCAGAAGCGAAACAGATATACCTTCAGTAGGGCCATATTCTGGTTTGGTCAACAGTTTTCCCTGAAAAGATGAGCCACTCTTTATGGAGCAAGAATGTTGTGTCCATCTGTGTCCAAACATGTCATCACATCAGTGCTTTCCTGTATCCCTAGAGCAAGATGGCAGGGGATGACTAGATTCTTTTAACAACCGTTTCTTTTTTAAAGATTTAATTATTTATGTGCGAGTGTGCTTTTCCATGTGTATGTGTCTGTTTGCACACATGTATGTACGGGTGCCCATGGAGGCCAGAAGAGGACACTGGATCTTTCGGAGCTGCAGTTGCAGGCGTGTGCCTGACTTTAGGTGTAGGTGCTGATATCCAATCTCTGGTCCTCATTGTTGAGCAACTACTGAGCATCTCTCCAGCCCTGATAGTCATCTTTTGACTTTTATTGAGGTGGCCTGGTAGATAAGATTTTGATAGCTACAATAAAATAGACTAAAAGATGTCCTTAGGGACTGGTTTTGCGGCTCAGTGGCAGAGCGATCGCCTAGACTGGGTTCCATCTCCCAGTCTTAGGAATTTATGAATGCTGAAATAGTGAAAACACGCTGCTGTTATTTGTCATTGGGAGTGAACAGTGTGGACGTGAAGCTTCGAGTGCGGGAGTGGATGTGGGGAGCTCGGGGACAACTTTACACAGTTGGTTCTCTCCGTCTACGTTTGCAGGACTCGGGGATCAAACTGAGATAATCAGGCTTGTGCCGCAACCACCTACCTGCTGAGACAGCAGCCTGCCCTAAAATCTCTCTTGGTTTATACTCAAGAATCATAGACTGGTGATGGCACACACCTTTAGTCCCAGCACTTGGGAGGCAGAGGCAAGTGGGTTCTATAAGTTTGAGGCCAGAGTGGTCTACAGAGTGAGTTCCAAGACAGCCATTGCTACAAAGGGAAACCTTATCTTGAAAAAAAATTAAGAAAAATAATGAGTAAACTGGGCAGAGTGGCACACCTTTAATCTCAGCACTTGGGGGGCAGAGGCAGGTGGATCTATGAGTTTGAGGCCAGCCTGGTCTACAGAGTGAATTCCAGGACATCTAGGGCTGTCTATGGTGGTGGTAGTAGTAGCAGCAGCAATAGAACAAAGAAATGCAAACATTACATTCCTGACCTGGGAAGAGAAACATGAATGGGCCTGTTGGGTGGTTGAGTGTTGTTGTTGTTTTTTTCACAGAAGACTGGAGGTACTGAAGCACCATGACTGTCCATTCCTGTCTCTCTCTCATGTCCTTCTCCTGCCCCATGCTCCTGAGTGCCAGGATTCCAAGTGTGAACCACCACACTTGGCTGTGATTCTGGCCTGTGCCAACTGAACGGTCCTGAACAACCCATCTGTTTTCTTAGCACCTCTTTCTGCATTAGTGGCTTAATGACAAATGAGATGATGCAGGAAACAATAGAGTGAAGACCTCCAGGTCCCGGACATTTGATACACGTCCTTCTCTTTCGCCAAGCTTCCCCCCCCCCCGCACACAGTGTGAGGAGCCCACAGATTCCACAGGAAAACAAGTTTTCTTTAAAAAGAACAACAACAAACTTTTAATTTCTTTGATGATCAAAGGAAGGTTTTCCCCTGAGTCAGTGCTGACCCCATCAAAGAACAATGGATATTTATTACATATTTCTAGAACGCTTTCTGAAAGGAGCCTGATAGCAGATCTCCTCTACCTCAGAGTAACATGACACAGGACTCCAAGGACCCTGAAGCTGGCACAGGGACCTCACAGCTCTTTGCTATGAAAAAAAGTTGTTTTCATTGTTATAGCAGATGAGTGGAGGGATTCGACATTTGCCAGAACACAACACATACCTGGTCTGTTTTAACTTTGAAAGACCACAGTGTCACTGGGACCTGGCACAGGGATCCACATGGATATTTGTATAAGGGTTGTTAGGCTAGACACTTTGGTAGGGGAGGAAACATGAAGATTCTCGGGACAGATAAAGAAGCAGAAGGCCACAAAGATTAGGTAAGGCCAGATGGAGACCAAGAGGGAGAGAGAGCGCATACTGGAGCTGGAGAGGTGACTCAGCAGTTAAGAATACTTGCTGTGCTTGCAAAGGGCTGGAGTTTAGTTCCCAGCACCTACATCGGGAGGCTCACAACCACCATCTTATCAATGTAGGTCCCAGAGATCCAGTGCCCCCTCCTGGCCACTATAGGCACCTGCATGTACAATGTACATACACACAGATATACACATATTTTTAAAGAGCACATGTGTATATATATGTGTGTGCATATATGTAAATTTTTTAAAAGATTATGTTATGAGTTCTTTATCTGCATGTACGCCTACAGGACAGAAGAGGGCACAAGACCTCGTTACAGATGGTTGTGGTTACTGGGAATTGAACTCAGGACCTCTGGTGTGGCCCATAAAGATAGCTTTGTATTTGAATGGCAGACAGATTCCTCATCTCTGAAGGGAAAGGAGGCAGGTGTCACCCCTCTGATGCTTAAGTCAGAATGTTTAAAACAAAATGAATTAATGAGTCAAGATCCCTCTGGACCCTTGAATGACTCATTTACCTCTGCTCACTGCTCCTCTCCCCAGTGAAACTTCAGTTGAAAATCACGATGGGGTGGTACAGCCCTGGCTATTGGCTTGCTTCGCCTGGAGAGCAGAGCACTGGCTACTGTTCTGTCAGTGATGTGAGACAGGGAGGTTCTGATGAGGGTGATCGTCAGGAAGTGAGGATCAAACTTCACTGTCTTTAGCTCGTTTCCTAAATCCTGCTTACCTGCAAGGTAGCACAGACAGGTCAAAGGTTACTTACTTACTTTCATTGTCAGATAGTCTATACGGCAACAGGTCTCATTATGACATTTCATGTAGGGATCTGATGTCTTTTGATCCTAGTACCTCACCACCACTGTCTCCTCACTCTTGCGGATCCCCTCTCTTCCCACCTGGCCCTCCATCTGCTTCCTCATCTGTGTGACCTGTCAGTTTAGGGTGAGGAGTCATTTGCATGCACAACTTATCAGTGGCTACACCACTGAAGAGAGTGCCTTTCTCTCCATGAGCAACCACTGATAGATCCTCAGGGAAGGGTGGGGCTGTGTGAGTCCCTCCCAGCTCTGAGATGGAATGTTGGTGGGTCAGTCTTGTGACAGTGTTCCACTCCTTCCTCTGGCTCCTCTTCCGTGTCCCCGTGGGAGGGGTGATGCAGCTGTCCCATTTAGGACTGTCATGCTGACTTTTGGTTCAGGGCCAGTTACTCTTAGACACTCAATGGGATGAGTGTTCCCTTATCTGACATGCTTGGTACTAGAAGTAGTTCTGATTTCAGAATATTTGTGTAGGTTTTACTTGTCATTTCCAACTTTAAAAAAATCCACAATCAAAAATGTCTTTAGTTTTAGATTTGGAGTATTTGAGTTTTGGCTTTTTAAAAAAGGATTTATTTTATGTCTGTAATTATTTTGCCTACATGAATATAGGTGTGCACATGTGTGCCTGGTGCCCAGGGATGTCAGAAGCATCAGATCCCATGGAACTGGAGTTAGATGGTTGTGAGCTGCCATGCGGGTTCTAGAGCCAAAGCCCTGAAGAGGAGCCGGTGCTCTTAATTATTGAGCAGTCTCTCAGACCTGCACTTTGGGCTTTTGAATTGGGGTGATCAGCCTGTACCAGTGGTTCTTTTCTCTTGTCTGTCCTATTCCCAGGAGGGCCCTACTGCTGTGAGGAGATAGACCCTGCGAGGTGGGGGGAAGCGTGTGCTAGGTATGAGGAGAGGTGTGTCAGGGCGTGCCAAGAAGGAAATTTGGGCTGTATTATTTCTGATCGTTACTTTGGGTTTACCGTCTGATTCTCAAATGAGGTACACTTTCCTATTATCCCTATGTTGTAATGGGGACACTGAGCCTGGGAGAAGTTTAGTGTCTCTCTGCCGTGTCTCAAACCTCGGTATCCAGAGCAACCATTCCGTCCCTCTGTGGATGAGGGGGTCCCTTGATGTCACTCAGTTTCACTCACCAATGCCACCCAAACCAGCCCAGGGCCCATGCCTCCTTCCAGGTGGGGCTGTGCTAGGAATGGCTGGGGTTCTGCCAGCCTCCACCTCTCCCCTAATCTTCCTACACTAGCCTGATTTTTGGAGCCTCCCCAGATTTTCCGTGAGCTCCCTGAAGGAAAAAAAGCTCTGTGGTGGTCTTTTCTTAGCACTGTGCCTTCTTCATCTCCAGGAGGATTTGTCACTGCAACCAAAGAGTCAGTTGAGCTTCACTGAGTCAGCATTCCCACTGCCAGTGAGGCTGCCTGCTCCTGAGACTCAAACTGTACAGCCCTCAAAACTATTAGATGGGCGCCACCTTGCGGATGAAAAGAGCACTGTAGTTATCACCAATTATTTTCTATATAGCAAAGGCTGTTGCCTAAAGAGTGATTATAGTCTTGGATTTTGTGCCTGCTGGTTGCTTAGAGACTGTTAAAGTTTTTATTTTAAACCTTTAAACCTCTCTTGAGGTGATGCCAATACAAGGACGCCTAACTACTTTAGTGACTTTCAAGTAAGTGGTTTTGACCATGGTAGCCTGTAATAAGAAAGGCATTATTCATGCATACATCCGTACAAATATGTTAATATCTAATACAAAGGCATCATAATGATTTTTCATACTCTTATTTGTGTGTGTGTGTGCTCTGTGTAATTGAAATAGTAGTCAATATCTAATCTGTTGACTTTATAACTTACTAGTTTACTGCTTACGACCAAGAAGCCCTCTCATTTTATAAAATGGAAAACTGGAGCCTAGAGGGAGGTGTGATTTTCTCCTCTTTGCTTTGGGGTGGGCCTTTGCCCTCTGTCTTCTGGCCTCCTTGAGCCAGGCATGTACACAGTACGCAGACATGTACGCAGACATGTATGCAGGCATGCGTTAGGTATCATTGCCAGAGCTACCAGTAAGCAGACTGTGGTTCAATTTGCTGCCATTTCCTCTGCTCAAGGAACCTCCCAACACCCTCTCCTTCTAGTTGCGCCTCAAAGAGGAAGAGTTGCGAGACTACCAACGAGCCGAGAATGAAGCACTCACAAAAAGGCAACTTCTGGAGCAGTCGCTGAAGGATCTGGAGTACGAGCTGGAGGCCAAGAGTCACCTCAAGGATGACCGCAGCCGGCTTATCAAGCAGATGGAGGTGTGTGGGTGCACAGGCAGGAGCCAGGCTGTGGAGAACACGTCTGGGCCGCCAGGGGGATGTTTCCTATGCAGGAAGTCTTGGGTTTTTACTCTCTCTAGCTTGATGTTTTAAGATCTTTCCTTGTTGCAGGGAGACAGTTTCTTGTGTTGTAGTTTGCCAAAGCTAGGAGTGAAGGGTGTGGTTTAGTCTAATAGCTTCATTGCTTTGAAGAAGATAGAAGTTGATCCCCAAAGAACTTAGCTGATGGTGCTGTATCCCTTCAGCAATGTTTCTCCTGTGGAGGCTGCAAGACTGCCACTGTCCAGTCAGGATTACACTGTGCCTTAGACCATCCCCAAACCACACGGTCCATCCTTATTCCCGGCCCGTCTTCCTGTGTGTGTGTGTGTGTGTGTGTGTGTGTGTGTGTGTGTGTGTGTGTGTGTGTGTGTGTGTGTGTGTGTGTGTATCATTGCTATAGCAAACTATGGCTCAGTTCGTTGCCATTTCTGAAACTGCCCAAAGCAGTCACCAGCTGGCAGTGGGTATTCACAAGCCTAATACATACTGTTTGAGAAAAAAAAAAAACATATAAATAAAATACCAGAATCTCCATGTCTTGTCCTCTGAGAGGATGGGAAGAATCTGAATTGCTAAAAAGGAATAATTTGCAAGGGAATTGACCCTAAACCAGAAACACATGTGCCCCTCACTCACCCCCGTAGAATGTAGAGACTGAGACTGAAAAGCAAGGCTCAGACTTTGGGGGAGACATTAACATTGTCAGGGTTTTGATAAAAGACAGGCATGGCGCTCAAGGCCAGCGAGAGATGGCTTGAGCTCAAAATCAATGAATTCCTCATTCAGCTTTGCAAATAAACAGAAATAGCTTTTCTAAAGCTCCAGGGTGCTTTGCAGTTTGTATCTAGGAAGTGAAGTTTGAAGCAGCGGAGATTTTATTAGATAGGCCTCTCTCAGAGACCAGGGTAGCCTGATGGCAATTTTATTGCTTTGTTTATGGGGCTGCTGAGTTTTTCTAATATTTTCTTTCTGATCTCTTTAGGGGGTCGTTTTCAGATAGGCTAAGGTAACCTAGTTAACTAGAAATGGCCTAGATGCCCTGCTTAAAAGCAACTGGTGGGCCGGGGGAAATGGCTTCATCGGTGAAGTACATGCTCTGTTCAGCTTCCTAGCATCCACGTCAAAAGCTGCCCGTGTCAGTGTGCACCTGTAATCCCAGGGCCAGGGAGGCAGAGACGGGGGTCCCTGGGGCTGGCCAGGCAGTCTACCCTACTTGGTGAGCTCCAGGCCAATAAGAGACCCCTGTCTCAAAAAATAAGGAGAGTGACTGAGGAAGATCCCTGACACAGTGACCTCTGTGGTCTGCTTGCCTGTTGTCTACTTGTCTACATATGCATGCATACACACACACACACACACACACCCCAAGTGGAAACCTATCAAATAGTGAACAAGAAGTCTTGGTATGATGAACTATGGCTTAGACCTCATATGTTGTCTAGACAGTATGCATTGGGGGCAGGAAAAACAGTCTGACTAAGAGTGATTTTAGAACTCTGGAGAGATGGCTCAGCGGTTAAGAGCACACATACTACTCTTGTTCAATTCTCAGCACTCATGTTGCGGGGAGGGTCTCACAGCTTCCTGCAACTCTAACTCCAGCAAATCCAATGGGTGCCCTCTGCTGGCCTCTGCTGGCACCTGCACTCACATGCACATACCCTCACATAGATACCTAACTTTAAAAAAAGAAAGATCTTTTAAATATAAGTGATTTTAAAACTGAAATCAGATTGGGTTGTCAGAATATTCTAACAAGGCATGTCCTCTGGGTAACTTAAGGTTACCCAGTGCAGCTAAACACCACTGAAGGTATTTCTCCACTTGTTCTGCAGTGATAGCTTCTGGAGGCCCTGCCACCATGAAAGGCACCTAAGGGGAGTTGCTCTAGTTGGTGGCTGCCAGGGCCATGTTGCCAGGGCCATGCCTTTCCCATCCAATCGCTAAAACTTAACCAGTTCTCAGGTCTCAAGAGCTCACCCACAATGAACATTTTTTTGGTAAATTCAACCCCAGGTGGCTGAAGCTCTGTGGATATTTTGGATTCTGAGTGATCTGGAATAGATGGGTAACTTTAGGCAGGGTCCAGCCATGTCCTGAGTTGGTTTCTGGGATTTTCTGCTCCCAGGAGAGAGCTTTTGGGCTCATTTACCGGTTTTTGATGATTTTATGTATTATTGTGTGTGCACACAAGTGCGTGCCACAGCATGAGTGTGGAGGACAGAGGACAGCTTTGACAAGTCACTCCTTGGGCTGTGGCATCTGAACTCATCTTAGAATTTGCAGTAGATGCCTTTACATGTTCAGCCATCTTGCGGGTCCTTCCCGGAGGCTTTGATCAGTCCCTGACAAGACCAGCTGTCCAGTCACCCACAGGCCATCATTCACAAGAGTTCTGAGAGTTTCATTTCTGTGGTTTACACAGCCATTCTTGGTTTTCAATCAATTCTAGCAGTTGCACAGATCATACTTACACACAAGTGCTGCCTTTGAAAACTCAAAAAGTTTTAAAAAGCATCTGTTGGGGTAGAGAGATGGCCCAGTGCTTAAGAGCTGGCGGCTGCTCATCCAGAGGACCCATATGGTGGCTCACAACCCCAACTGTAACTCCAGTCCAAGGAAAACTGACACCCCCCCACAGGCATTGCACACGTGTGGTACACATGCATGCAGACAAAACACCCATCTACATAAAATAAAAAGAATGGAAAAATGTTTCAGGAATATACATTAAAAAAGCATCTATGACTCCAAGTTTACCCAGACCTATGGCAAATCTACTGAAGACAAGAAACACAAGCTGAAGTCTCCCAGCCCCCAGGGCTGGAACACTCTGAGTGAGGAAACCTCTTTCTCTCATACACGAAACTACTTTGAAATGCTTCTCTCTTAACTGTCAGTGACATTGGACAGAGACCAGAGGGGCAGAGTGTCATCTTCTGTGATGGTGAACTTACCAGAATTGACCACCACTGTCCTGTGTAATTCAGTGTAGGTTTGGGACTGTCCACTGCCAAGCTCACAGGTACTCTAAAGAAGAGGCAGGCCAGAAACGTGAGCCTGCACCCACAGGAGCAAGCCTCTTAAGCATGACGTATTTGTAAGAATGTCCCAGGATGGCTTCTCAGAATATACACTGATTAGGGACCAGTTAGTTAAAGATACTAATATAATACGTACTAACATAGCCTTAGTGTTTTTGTTTTGTTCATCGGGACCTACTCAGGGGAAGGCCTTTTCTCCTTTGATGTGTTTTCCACATTCCCAATTAAATTGCAAAAGCAACAAAACACATGTTTTTTTAAATACTTGCTTTGGACAATACAAGAAATACATGGATAAGGGCTGGGAGTGCGGCTCAGCTGGTAGAGTACTTGCCTAGCATAAATGAAGTTCTGGGCTCAATCTCTAGCACCCAGCATCCAGGCACACTCTTGTAGTGCCAGCACTGGGGAGGTAGATGCAGGAAGATCAGGAGTTCAAGGCCATCCTGGACTACATAACAAGTGTGAGGCTGACCTGGATAAATGAAAACTGTTCTCACCATACAGATCACGATGAATCCTTTAGGAAGTAGGAAGGGGGGGGGGGAGAAATAGGTGTCTTATGCTCCTAAGCCCTAACATTAATCCGCTTTCATTTGCCCTTGGGGTTTCCTTCCATGACCCCCTTGCTCTTAACCCTGAGTAAGTGAAGAAACCTGTTTGCTTCCTTTCTCAGGACAAGGTAACCCAGTTGGAGATTGAATTGGAAGAAGAAAGAACCAATGCTGATTTGCTGTCTGAGAGGATCACTTGGAGCAGGGAACAGGTACCGGGGAGCTGTCGAGGGCGAATACACAGTACTATGGAGAAAGGACACATGAGAGGCTAAACCTGAGGATTTGCTTAGAGCAAGGAGGAAACATTCCTGCCCAACAGATCATGATGGGAGATTCGGTAGTCTTTACCGTAACAGGCACTGGGAGGGAAGGAATTAGTAACATGAGGGAAATTTTCTATAGTGGTTACAGAAAGTGACGTATTAGCTACAGTGGGCCAAGGGTTTAGCATTGTCTGTTCAACTCAGGGTGACGAGGCTGGAGGTTTGGGGGTGAAGAGCTGCCACCACTGGGCTGGCTGTCCCTGCTCAGAGCTGAAGCTGAAATACTCTCTGGCTTCTTTGCCACCCACCCTTCTGACGTGCACAGGCTTCCTTGGGAAGTGTGGTACTCAGGGATATGGGATGGGTTGGAGTGCAGAGACTTCTAAGCCAGGCTACTGGGCTCTGGTTCGGGTTCCCAAACTCTACTGGTGGTGGGAACGCATTCAGAAGCCCAAGCAGCAGAGGTTTAGAGAGGACTTCCCTGAATGCCAAGACACAGATGGACACTTCAACCTTGACATTGGCTCCCCAAAGTTCTTCCTGCTTTCTAAGTTTTCTTACTGGACTCAGAGCTGTTTTGCTAGGTGTTCCTTCCAGTTTGGCGGAGGATCTGTGCTACCCTGAGGCACTGCAGAGCCTGCTTAGCATGCGTAATGACAGAAATGCCTGTGGCTTGTTTTGTCAGCCTTGTGATATAAGCACAGTGGGAGGGATGGTGAGAACCATGTCACCTTACCAATATCCAGGCAGTTAAAACCAGTTTCCAGTTCCATGATTTATACCCAAAATAAAACACAGGCATGCTGCTCCAGAACACGGGGGAAGTCCATTGGCTCAGCCACTGACCCAGGACCACGAGGTGTCTGGTCCCAGAATGCCTTTGGTGTTTTCCTTTTCCTCTCACGCACATTAGGGTCATGGGGGTGTGACTGCTTGCCTCAGTGGTCAGTGTTGAAAATTTTCCACTGAGTCGTGAACTTGAGGTCCATGCAGGAGGAAGACAAGGACACTCACCAGGGGCTGCTGTGAAGGACACACTGTGGGCAGTTGTAGGCCTGTTCCTGTGCTGCCTCCTGTGGAGCTTTGGGAAACTCCCAGATTATTGAGTCTATGAATATGCGGCTGGGGCTGGCGAGGTAGCTCAGCTGGTAGAGTACTTGGCCATCGTGCACAAAGCCCTGGGTTCAATCCCCAGCACGGTAATGCATGGCTGTGATCCTAGGACGTGAAGGCAGGAAGTTCAGAAGTTCAAGATCTTCCATCCTCGGCTACATACTGAGTTCTAGACCAGCCTGGACTACATGAGAGCATTTGTCACACATAAACAAAAGCAAAATGAAGCTATTTATGTAGACGGTTCTGAAGACACCCCCCTCCCAGCCTGCCGTCATTAGGCTCTGTTGTCCTCTTCCACAATTTTGTGAGGGGGAGGGTAAGGCCCATGTTTGCTGTAAATGGAGAAACTGAAAATCAAGTTCAAATTGACATAGAAGCTGAGGAAAAACAAAAGCCCCAAGATAGTCGGGCACCTCTCCTCCTTTCCTTTCATGGTTTTTGGGCCTTACTGTGAAGCTCAGACCAGCCGTAAACTCTCTATCCCCCTGCTTCAGCACCTGGGTGCTGGGGTTACAGGTGTGCCACCATGGCTGGTGAGTGGTATCCACAGATCGAGTCATCTGACCTCTTCTGCCCTTTGATGCCTCCTGACTTGAGGGGGACATTTAAAGGGATACCTCTTGCCTCACCAACAGGCATTTCTCTCAAAGTAGAGGTTCAGCCAGTCTGGTTTTCTGCCTTTAACATAAAGACTATGTGGAGAGGGCTTTGGCTATGGACAGGCCGTGGCCAGTGGGGACCTCCCAGGACCGTGCACCCGTGGCTGCCTGCCATTCTCACAGCAAGAAGAGGGACTCTTAAAGGCTGGCCCCTTCCTCCTGTCCCTTGTCTGTTTGACCTTCTGATACCCCTAGCAAGGGCTGGTGACTAAAGACAGAAAATGGCGCCTGTCACCTTGAACCCTATGAACAGTATTTACCCTGCATTCCCAGCAAACTGCTGTTGGGCACTAAAAAGAGAAGTATGGAGAAAGATTTTTCTTTAACTCTTGCTTTCTTTTTAAAAGTTAAAGTTTTCTGTTCCCTGCTTAAAGCTCATTATTTCTAAGTTCTTCTGAATCCTTACTTCCTCCTAATATATCCCTGACTTTTTCTAGTCCCCTTGATAGGTCTTAGGTAAACAGGCTAGATAAAAGGATTTCAGTAATGTTAGAGGAAGGCTAGTCTTCTTACAGGACCTTAGGTCTGACAAGGCCATCAGAGGTCAAATCTCCTGAATTGGGTAATGGATTTGCGGTGCGGGGCCATAAAGGACTTGGTCCAGAGCCATGTGGCGCTAGCTGTAGAGGCAGGCTTAAGCTTCCTCTTCCCAAAGACAGTGTTCTAACTACCGGAGCCTGCAAAACACAACCGCATGCATGGCAGAGTGGTAAACCTACAGAATTTCCAACGTGATGTTAGGCCAGGTTAAGGAGATGAACATTTAACAAGTGGGCGGATAACTAACAATCAAATAATACCACGTGAAGGACTCCAGCAGCAGTGAGGGAAAGGCCACGCTGGCAAGAGTGACCAAGGAAGGGTGTTTAGGGGAATCTTGGCCCCAGAGTTAGCTCTGAAGAAGTGATCTGGCTGAGAGTAGATCGCCAGAGTGGGCATGGCATCTGACCTAGAGCAGATTGGCAGGTAAGCCTGGGGTGTTGAAAAGCCGGGAATGCTGGCACACACTTCCTGTTCCCATGAGGAAAGCGGTGGGGGAGGCACGTTTGGAGAGACAGACTGGGCCTTTTGAATGGCTGTATCCTCAAGGCAGTGAAGGGTATGGGAGGCTGTTCAGCAGAACAGTGAAGCACATACGGTGTTCTAGAAGGTCAGTGTCAGAGCTGGGGGTAGAGAGGGTACCCCGAGAAGACCTTAACTGGGCAGCTCCCAGGGCCAGAGAAGGTGGCTATGAGAATTCTCTATTCTGTTCCTCTGGCTTTGCTCATTGTTCTTGTGTGTGGGTTTTTGTTTTGTTTTGCTTTTGTTTTTGTTTTTTGTCTTTTAATACTTTCTGGCCCCATTATTTACCTTCTGAGTCTCAGGGATTTTCTTCAGTACATACTCAGGATAGTAAATAAACTCAGAGAATCTTAACCAAGTAAATGCTTCCCACACTGTTTGAGACTTGACTGGCTTTCAAACACGGCTGTTGTTGAGAAGGAATAGATTTGCTTTGGCAGAACGCCACATTTATGAAGGGGAGGCACGTCTTTTTTCTCATCATAGAACAGACAGGCCTCCACCTGACTTGTATGGAAGCAGAAGGAAGGTTCCCTGACAACAATTGCTTTACAGGCTTTGGGTCTCTGTAAATCCCAGAAAAACCTTTTTACCTTTTTCCAAAAACTGTTTCTCTACCAGATCCACTAGGAGAGACCTATAAACCTAGCTACTCAGGAGGCTAAGGCAGGAGGATTGCAATTTGAAGGCCTGCCTAAGCTAGAGTGAGCACAAGGTCAGCCTGGGCATATGACTAGTGAAAGTCTGTCTCAGAGTAAGGGCTGGAATACAGCCCTGTGGCAGTGCACTCTCCCAGCATGTGGGAGGCCCCAGATTCAATTCCCAGTGCCCTAAAAGCTAACCATTTCTGTCTATGACTCCTGACAACCACACTGAGGAGTTTTAAGGATTTCCTTGCATGCTTTTTTGGCTGTTTTCAGGACTTGGAAGGTATAGTCACTGCCTGCAGTCACATAACTTGTAACAAGGTAGGGCCACAGTTTGATCCATTCCTGCATCAGATTCTAACGGTCTCCAAGTTAAGAATATTACACAGGTTGGGCATGTGGTCTGGCTGGCTTAGCACCCACAAAGTCCTGAGTTCATTCCCCAGCACCTCAGAAGCTGGATATAAAAGGTGCACACTGGTCATCCTAGCATGCGTGAGAGGTGAAGGCGAGGAGTTCATGGCCATTTTTGGTTACATAGCGAGTTTAAGGCAGCCTGGGCTACATGAGACCTTATCTCAAATGGTAACAACAATAATGATGATAATAGCACTTAAGATACACAAGGGTTGTTTTGACTTCTACCTCTTCTGACTGTGTGAAGGACTCAGGTAGACAGAAAGAGGTCTGCCCTGTTGAGCTTTAAATATGCTGGGTAGGCTCAGCGGACATCCATACATATGCCGCTGCTGGTAGCTGAATGCACACAGCAGCACTGGGCTCGCCTAGACAGCCCCTCAGCCTTGAAAGTCAGGAGGGCCCAGCACAGGGGTAAGTTGACTCATCCCATGCCACAGCTGGCATGCAGGGAGGGGGGAAATACCAACTTCAAAAGTTGGGAAGCATCAATATCTTCTCAGGGGCTCACAAGGCTGCCTTGTTGCCTTGGAAACTGCCAGACAAATCTCAGTGGGTAAAGCTGGAGGCATGAACTGCTCCTTTATGGCTGACTCACACCTGCTCCTCAGTTAGTACCTGGGGACGTAGGAGCCAGTAAATGAGAGGCCAAGTAGCCCCCTAGTCAGGAGGAAAGTGACAGATCAAAGTGGGCTTTCTCCTTTTAAGGTGACTCCAGGGTTAGAACTGCCTCCTACCACATCAGCGACTCAAAACTCCACTGTGCAAGTTGGCTGATGCTAACTCTTAGGACAGAATTGTTGTTATCAGTCCAGGAGTATAGGCTTGCCAGCCTCTTCATAGCTCATTGATAAGCCCAGGCCAGGAGGCTATTACTATTAGCAGTCATAAATATTTCTGGCTTTTCATTGGCACAAAAAGCTACAGCTTCTAGTCCTGAGAGCTAGCTCGGGTCGTGGGTATCTTGCCGCTTCAGGCTGCTAGAATTGGATCTGCTGTTTCCTATCAAAACACTCCATGGTTAGTATTCATTCAATCCAGCTGC